TTGTTTTAAAAAAGGTTATAAAAAATGTCAATAATTATCGATACTGAACGATATGAAAAATTATATCGTTGATACATTTTTTAGCTATATCACCCAGCCCTATAATAAATTAACTATTTTTTGAAACAGACAACACTTCATTAAAAAAAAAAAAATATATATATATATATATATTTAATTGGGCCTTATTATTGTTGAATAATATCTATTATTGTTTTTTGTTGAAGGTTTATGAAGTTAAATAATTAGACGTGTTCTTTGATTATTAAAATTAAGTCAAATCATTCAAATGTTTTAGTGGGTGTATCAGTAATAAGGAAAATTTTAGAAAAATAATTTAAATGTATTAAAATATTTGTTATAATTTAATATTGAATAAAATACTAATTTAATAAAATATTTTTACAATTAAATTTTTTATAATATAATGATGAAGTAATTTTAATAAAATACATGCTTTTTGAAATTTAATCAAAGTTAAATTTTTTTAGTTAAATACAGACTCCAGTTAAATTAAAATATGGCAAATTTTAGAAAAATAATTTAAGATGGAGGGCGAATTGAGAACACAAAAAATATTACATTTAAATTGTATTAATTTAATTGATTATACGTGGTTTGATTATTTAAATTGAATCGAACCATTTGATTATTAAAATTAAATTAAAACAGTATCCAGAAAAAAATGAATTGAAAATGGTGTACGAATTGAAAACATAAAACTTAAACTTAGTTTATTACAGCTAGTCGCCAAGGCATCATGCCTCATTCTTGAAATGACTAAAACTGAAATAAAAATGAATAAATGCGATTATAGACATTAAATAAGACAAAAGCATGCAAAATTAGTAAACCACTGTATATTTAATTGGGCCTTATTATTGTTTAATAATATCTATTATTGTTTTTTGTTGAAGGTTTATGAAGTTAAATAATTAGACGTGTTCTTTGATTATTAAAATTAAGTCAAATCATTAAAATGTTTTAGTGGGTGTATCAGTAATAAGGAAAATTTTAGAAAAATAATTTAAATGTATTAAAATATTTGTTATAATTTAATATTGAATAAAATACTAATTTAATAAAATATTTTTACAATTAAATTTTTTATAATATAATGATGAAGTAATTTTAATAAAATACATGCTTTTTGAAATTTAATCAAAGTTAAATTTTTTTAGTTAAATACAGACTCCAGTTAAATTAAAATATGGCAAATTTTAGAAAAATAATTTAAGATGGAGGGCGAATTGAGAACACAAAAAATATTACATTTAAATTGTATTAATTTAATTGATTATACGTGGTTTGATTATTTAAATTGAATCGAACCATTTGATTATTAAAATTAAATTAAAACAGTATCCAGAAAAAAATGAATTGAAAATGGTGTACGAATTGAAAACATAAAACTTAAACTTAGTTTATTACAGCTAGTCGCCAAGGCATCATGCCTCATTCTTGAAATGACTAAAACTGAAATAAAAATGAATAAATGCGATTATAGACATTAAATAAGACAAAAGCATGCAAAATTAGTAAAAATGAAAACAGAAAATATACTGTAAACTAATACTAGTATCTCAATGATACTAAAATAACTCCATCACAAATCTCAAAGTGATGCACTGTGTTCAGTTTAACACTGTGATGTCCTCTAGCGTCTTTAAGCACGTGTTAAACTGTCGCTGCGGTGATGATTGACAGGAGTATGCCGTCAACTGTCATGTGATCACCTGGGAGCGAATCCTCAGCCACTTCGACATCTTCGCCTTCAGTCATTTCTGGGGCTGGGGAATGAAGGCTCTGCTGATCCGCAGCTATGGCCTGTGCTGGACCATCAGCATCACCTGGGAGCTGACCGAGGTAAAACACCTCGCTTACAGCATGAACCCGGTTACAGCGAGAGCGACACACTAGCCGGGTGTCCATCCAAAGTTGCGAATTTAGCTTATGCACAAAACTGGAACTCGAACAAGCATCGTTTCCATCCAACGAGTCACGAGAACAAAATAGTCACTTCCTGATAAACTGCCACTATAAATCACTAAGAAAAGCAGGAGAATATAAAAATATATAATATAGTAATTGAAGGTGGATGCTGCTGTTTGGGAACGCAGTCGTGTAAGACATTTCTGGGAGGCAATTATACAGAAATACTTTGATGACAGACTTTGCTCGTGCATTTCAGAATGACCATAACAATTTTTCAGATGCTGTGGAATTAGGGCTGTCGCGGTGAGGGAATTTCCCTTGCGGTAATTTTGAGTTGCTCAATAGCGCGGTATTATCGCCATACACACACACACACACACACACACACACATATATATATAATTTGTGTGTGTATGTGTTATGATATAACTAACGAGGTCATATTCAGAAGACAACAAATCAGCATGGTACACATTATGTTATCATTACTAACTTGTTTAATATTCAGTCCACATGCATGAAGTGTAAAACGAGAAGGGCATAACCTTACGAAAAAAGAAAACACGCAAAAATTGCGGTTCTTGCATTCCTCTGCGGTTTGCTTGTCAATAGCGCGGTATTGCGATATTGCGGTTATCGCGACGGCCCTATGTGGAATGAGATCGGTCCGCTGGTTAGTCAGGTTTTGCCATCCCATAGCGCAAAGTCACGTGGCTTTTTTGATGCGCTTGAAGGAATTTATTCGCAAAATGCATTTCCGTCTCCCATTATTCGCATCAACCCTTTTTCGCACAAGTCAAAAACCACCTCAAGCGAGCGTAAAAACTATTTTGCGAATTAAGGGATTTTTAATCGAAGTTTGGTGTGTCCATCACTCGTTTCTCATGCAATACTTCAAAATGCGCATTAAAATAGTGTGATGGAAACATAGCTACTGATTCATGCATTCATAGAAGACTGTATATGATGTTTCACAGCTAATGACCGCTCGATTATGTTTGCCGGAAAATAAAAGGAATTGTTACATTTCATTTGATTGCATTTAAAAAGATTGAATAAATTGTTAAACGTTTCATGCATTCTTTTGATTGCACTCTTTTTGATAATAAATTCATATTAAATACTAAAACACACAAAATGCAGACAAATTAAAATGGACAACAAAGAATTTACTTGAAATTAAATAATTAGCAGAAATTTAAAAAACAATAAAAAAAAATCATTGTAAAAATTTCGTTTTAACTTGATCTACTAAAATAACTAAAAGCTAAAACTGAAATAAAACCGAACTGAACTGAAATAAAATAATAAAGGGAACTATATAGACATATTAAAAAAGACAAAAACACAACAAAATGATTAAAACCTTTTAAATTAAATTAATTTATTACATTTATTGTTAAAATTAATTAAATTAAATATTAAAACCAACAACAATTAGAATTATATATTTAGAATTTATTTAGAATTTCTAAATATAAATATATAAATCTAATAATCTCTCTCTCTCTCGCTCTCTCTCTCTCTCTATATATATATATTAGTGTGTGCGTAAATAATGAAACGCCTTTCATTGGGCTCTATTGTTGAAATTTTATTATTATTATTATTTATTTATTTATTATTGTAATAATAATATTACATTCTTAAAGTTCATGGAATTAATTGCTTAGTCATGATTTTTGATTATTAAAATTAAATCAACTTTAAAACTAAATACAGAAAAATTAAAATGGAAATAAAGATATTGTTCAGCATCTGGCTCCAAATAATTTTATTTTAGTATTGGTTCAAAACCTAGTTTAGCAATCCCAGAACGCACTGTGAAATACTAAAAAACAAACAAACAATGATTTTCAAATGTAGGACGAAGTCAGAATTCATTCATTTTAGATGTTTCTTTTTATATTGAGTCTGTTTTCAAATGTAGTGAGAAATATTGATAAAATAATTAACTAAATGCCAATGAATAATTCATATTAATTACAATAATTACATAAATTAAATGCAATGAAATAGTCAAAACTACTTGCGTTAACGCCTTAAAAACTACTTTTATAAAACGGATGCCGCGTTCGAAGCTGTTGTAAATGACTCTACAAAGTAACATACACCTTTGTTTATGTTTGTGTGTTGCTCTGCAACCACTTTGTTACAACCACAACTGTTTCTGAGGAGCTACATTGTTTGGCGGAAGAATACTGTTTTTATTAATATCATTACACTTTATTTGCTCGGTATTGTTTTGTGAAACCTTACTACGTATATGGAGTAGCCGTTTTATAAAAGCAATAATCCTCGTGAAGCCGTGGTTTACAGTGAATTTATAACAGCCGCTTCACATCGTGCCTAACAACGCCCCTTAGCTGTTATAAATCCACCACGGGGCTTATTGCTTTAATTCCAGCTTCACATTGTTTATTAGAAGCATGCTAATGGCAAGTAAATCTCTGGGCGCAGCTGTTCTTCATGCATCTTCTTCCGAATTTCGCGGAGTGCTGGTGGGATCAGGTCATCCTGGATATCCTGCTGTGTAACGGCGGAGGGATCTGGCTGGGAATGACCGCCTGCCGCTTCCTGGAGATGCGCACGTATCACTGGGCCAGCATCAAGTAAGAAACCCCTCAAACACTGCTTTCTGAGAGCGTCTGGCAGAGACTGACCGAGCTGAACGAGTGTGTTTGTGCCGCACAGAGACATCCACAGCACCACGGGGAAGATCAAGCGCGCAGCGCTGCAGTTCACTCCTGCTAGCTGGACATACGTGCGCTGGCTCGACCCCAAGTCCTCCTTACAGAGAGTGACGGGAGTCTATCTGTTCATGATCATCTGGCAGGTCCGTGCATTCACTTCTCTATCAGCCAGCGCTGAAAAACAACACTTCAGGGGGGGGCACTAAGTTGTTAAAGTTTTCTGAATTCAATTGATTAGTTTAATCGAACCAGATTCCAACAGAAAGCATGGAATTAAAAAAAAAAATGCATTGGGTTTTATAGGGCATTTTCATTGATTATTAATGAGAGTGACTTATATATAATTAATCAAATAATTGCTCTCATTTTAGGTTTGGTTCAAATCCTAGTTAGTCTAGCAATCCCAGAATGCACTGCGAAGAACAAAACCATAATTAAAAATTGATTTCTTTTAGTCTGTTTTATATAATGTATTAATTATCTTTCTCATAATTCTATATACAGTATAGTGCATGTGTATATATATATGTATATATATGCACACAAATTAATTAATTAATTAAATTAAAAACCAATTTGTTAATATTTTTGACTTCATCTTTCATCTTTTGTTTAGTCTTTCTTCAAATTATATGGTGAGAAATATTGATTAATACATTTAATTAAATACCAGTTTATGAATATTTCTCACTTCATCTTTGTATTTTATTATTTATTTTTTTTGGGTGGAGTCTGTCTCCAAATTATATAGTGAGAAATATTGATAAATATAATTAATTTGGTAACACTTTACAATAAGTTTCCATTTGTTAACATTAGCTAACTACATAACACAATAAAAATGCTTCTAAAGCATTTATTAATCTTATGTTAATGTTAATTTCAACATTTACTGAATAAATGATTAAAACTGAAAGTTGTTAATATTATTTAAAGGACCTGAGCTGACATTGTTAATAAAAACATAACTGTTTATTGTTAGTTAACGTTAACAAAGTTTAATAAATACTGTAACACATGACTATCATTAACTAATGGGACCTTATTGTAAAGTGTTACCATTAATTAAATACATTTTATTAATCCAATTATTAATGATAATCCAATTTATAAAATAATTAAAACTACTTGAGTTAAGTATAACAGTCTTTATTAATCAGTGTTTTTATTTATATAAAAAATAACTAGTTTAACCAGCTCTAACTAGTTCAGAAGTGCGGGTCACATGAGTTCTCCTGAGCGAATAGGCTCCGCCCCCGAGCCGTTTCCACGGCGATGAAAGGATGGTCCCCTCGCTCCCTACTGAGGGCCCTTTAAACAGTAGTTAAATGTCTGACAATACTGTGACTGAAGCACAATCTCAAGCAGTTTCACTGGAGTTTGAGGCTAAATATGGGATTTCACACAAATGTGGCTTTGAAGTAGAAAAGTAGTAATATTTCCATTCTGCTTGCTTTTTAGGTTTTTAGGTCATTTGCCTTATTTTAAGTAGGTCAGGTTATAAAAACAGAGCGACATGTGAGATGTGCTATAAATTAATATAAACTATATAAAATAATATAAACATCAACATGATTTTCTGTAAAGCTGTGTACTGTAAAAACCTCTATACAAATAATATTTGTAGGTGTAAATTAATCACATGAGTTCTCCTGAGCGAATAGGCTCCGCCCCCGAGCCGTTTCCACGGCGATGAAAGGATGGTCCCCTCGCTCCCTACTGAGGGCCCTTTAAACAGTAGTTAAATGTCTGACAATACTGTGACTGAAGCACAATCTCAAGCAGTTTCACTGGAGTTTGAGGCTAAATATGGGATTTCACACAAATGTGGCTTTGAAGTAGAAAAGTAGTAATATTTCCATTCTGCTTGCTTTTTAGGTTTTTAGGTCATTTGCCTTATTTTAAGTAGGTCAGGTTATAAAAACAGAGTGACATGTGAGATGTGCTATAAATTAATATAAACTATATAAAATAATATAAACATCAACATCATGATTTTCTGTAAAGCTGTGTACTGTAAAAACCTCTATACAAATAATATTTGTAGGTGTAAATTAAAATCATTTCAATAACATTTTCGTTACTTAAATGTAAATAATACAAATGTTTACTTCAGTTAAAATATAAAAAATGTTTTATTTTAGCTAGTTTGCTAAACTGAGCGACTTGCTCAACGTCTTTTAACTTAAGTTTAACTTGATGTACTAAAATAACTTAAACTGAAATAGAAAATAATAAAAACGTATTTAAGAACTAATAAAAATGAAACTAAAACAACAAAACTACTAAACTAAAATTTGCTTGAAATCAGAAAAAATAAAATATGATTTAAAAATATTAAAAATAAAATATATTTAAATTATATTAAAATAACACTTTTTGAAATTTTAATAAATTATTACATTTTAAAAAAAATCAGTCGATTATTAAAGTTGAATCAAAGCATTAAAACAGTCGGACCAAAATGCAAACTAATCTGTTAACAGATTCTTTCAAATGAGTTCTTTACTGCATACAGCTGTATTAAATCTGTGTTCTTCAGCATCAGTTTAGTTTTAGCTTGAGTGTGTTGTTTCGGTTGATTGGTTTATTTCCTCTGTCTCTCTGACTCAAGCTGACGGAGCTGAACACGTTCTTCCTGAAGCACATCTTCGTGTTCCCAGCATGCCACGCGCTCAGCTGGTGCCGGATCCTGTTCATTGGGATCATCACGGCTCCTACTGTACGGTACGTGAAGACTTTTATTTAGTGCAAAATATAACTAAATGCCATTTGCAGCTCATTAAAATCAGGGCTGTACGTTAACTTTTTTTTCACATAGCACTGGTGCTACAGAGGTTGAAAGTTTTGTAGCACAGGCCAAAAAGTTGTAGCACAAGTATAAAACGTCTGTTATCATGTCTGAAAACAAACACAAGTAATGGAGTTCATCACTTAAACAGGCACTGATGTTCCATACAGAGCACAAAAAATACAAACCTTTAGTAGCTACTGTCCCTTTAAGAGCTTCACGCGTTTCTCTCTCAAATGTTTACTTTCATTTTAGACATAACCAATTGTGTTTATATGTAAACCTTGTGTGTTTTTGACAGTATTAGACGCGAAATCAATCAGACGCGAAAGACAACTGAGTCCAATAATCAGGCGCTTTTTGACAGGCTCTCATATATGTCGCACTGTACAGCCCTGATTAAAATGTAATTTAATTTTAGAATTGACTAAAAAATTTTAAAATTAAAATTAATGAATTAATATAAAAACAATCAAATAAAAATGTGATGCCTGCACACCTGAATCATTAATTAAATCATAATGTAAAATTAAAATCAATTAAAAATGTAACACAAAAATGGATCAAATTAAAATAAATAATATTCATGTAAAAACAATCCAATCAAAAATGTAACCCGAATCATTTTAATATAAAACAATCGAATGAAAATGTAATGCCCACACACCTCAATCATTAATTAAATCATAAAAATGTAAAATTACAATGGATTAAAAATGTGACATTCACAAATTTATAAAAATCTAAATAAATATTAATATGAAAACAAGCCAATTAAAATGTAATTTCTACACACCTGAATCATTAATTAAATCATAAAAATGTCAAATTAAAATTAAAAAGTAACTTAAAAACTGAATAAAAAAAAAATAATAATAATAATAATATAAAAACAATCCAATACAAATGTAATGCTCACACACCTGAATCATTAGCCTAATTAAATAATGAAAATGTAAAATTAAAATTGATCAAAAATGTAACAAAAACTGATCAAATTAATTTAATTTAATATTTTAATTATGATAAAATTAAAATAAATAAAATGTAACCTGAATCATTTCTAGGTGCGTGGGATGAAAATGCAATATAAACATATAAAAATAAAAAAATTAAAAGTCAAAATAAAACACCAAAAAAACATTTTGTTTACTTGCATGTCATGTGACCATTAAATAATATCAGAGAAATATGCAAATGTGTTGTTAAATTATTGAAATGTATCTCAGGGGTCTTCAAGTAAGTATTGTTCACTGACAGACATGCACTGTTGAAGACCCCAGAGCGTGTGTTGGACTGATTGATCTGATGCTCCTGTGCTCTGATGTTTAGGCAGTATTACGCGTATCTGACGGACACACAGTGCAAGCGGGTCGGGACTCAGTGCTGGGTGTTTGGGTGAGTCTGAGCGCTTCTCGTGGGAACCTGGAGCGGTGTTGTAATCTGCCTCGTCTCAGATATGAACTAACACAGTCACCTAGATTTGAGTTCTCTTGTGCCTAACATCTAGGGTACATCATCTAGACTTTATCTAGCATCCTTCAGCTTCATGTTGCACAATTAAAGTCCAGAGCTGCATGATATATTGAAACAAAACTGATATTGCTTAGTGCATTTGTCAAATGCATATGAGATTTAATGAAATGAATATATGCGGCTTCACTCTGATGAATAAAATCAGGAGTATAATTATATAAATTATTATTAGTGCTGTCAAACGATTAATCGCATCCAAAATAAAAGTTTTTGTTTACATAATATATGTGTGTGCACTGTATATTTATTATGTATATATATAAATGCACACATATTTAGAAAATATCTACATGTATTTACATGCATATAATTTAATTTATATATAAATATTTAATATATAAACATAACATTTTCCTTATATATATATATATATATATATATATATATATACATGCATGTGTCTCTATTTATATATACGTAATATACTCACATATATTATGTAAACAAATACTTTTATTTTAGATGCGTTTAATCACGATTAAACAGCACTAATTATTATATATTAAATATTAGTTTGTCATGCAAGTTTGAACACTGTGCAGCATTCATATATATTTTTAAAATTTATAACACTTAAATAAAACACTCACTAAAAATATTATACATATTTGTTTACCTGCATGTCATGTGATTAAAATCATAGAACTGTAAACATGCAAATGTGTTGTTAAATTATTGAAATACTAACTTAAAATAATCTAGACTTCGTCTATCATCCTTTGGTTTTATGTTGCACAATTAATAAAAAGTCTAATAAAAAGTAGGGTTGCACTATACATCAAAATAAAATTGATATTGCTTAGTTCAGTTGTCAGATCACGCAGTCTGTGATTGAATTTAACACATTTGCGCCAATGGTTTCACTGAATATTTTATTTGCTGGCAACCCTTCAAAATAAAAGCTTGATGGTTTAGAGTTTGACATTTTTTTTATTGCAGTATTAAGGAAGTTATTTTTAGTAACTTTACAGTAAAATAAAATTCTTTGCTTTTTTTTTTTTTTTTTACAGTATTATTTTGAGATTTTTATTTTGCTCAATATTCTTGTTTCATAATAATCACAATAAAATCACGATGATCATTATTATTTTATAGTATTTTATTATTTTATAGGCCTATGAAGCCCTAAAAGATTCCTGCATTTTAAAAAAAGTATTTTTTTTTAGCATTTTTTAATCATTATTTTTTATGCAGATGCACTCTGCAACTGACTCTAGAATGATTCAGTCTTTCCAAATATAGCTATTCAAGTCATCTGGGGAAATTTCATTGCATTATGTATTGCGGAAAAATGAAATATCCCAATGTCAGTTTTTTCCGAATCTCTGTTTTTCTGTCGTTCAGAGCGATCGCTTTCCTGGAGGCCTTGGCGTGCGTTAAATTCGGACAAGACTTGTTTTCCAAGACGCAGGTTTTGTATGTGGTGTTGTGGCTCCTGTGTTTGGTGAGTCCCTGCGGTCTGACTGTCTCTGTGTAGTGTTTGCGTGAGTGTTTGCGTGTGGAAGTGATGGTGTGTTTGTGTCTGAAGGCTTTCATCACGTTCCTGTGTCTGTATGGGATGGTCTGGTTCGCTGAGAACTACGGGCCCCGACAGAAGGTGCGTCATTTACTCCCTGATCTGTGAGACTTTCTTACTTCACTGGAAAACAAAAGCACATTCAGTTAAGAGCCATCATCTGTGTAATTAAAAATGTAACACTAAATGCATAAATGTTTCAATATGACTAGGTTTATGTATTTACACGTTTTACTATTGGACTTTTTTTCTCAAGCGCTTTTAAGAATTGCTGTTTCTTTTAAGAGTGTCAGAAAGATGGAGCAAGTTTTTGACCGGTTTATCTGTATTGTGCGGAAACACAATACAGATAGTTTAATTTTGTTCTTTGCTAGAAAGCATCATAAAGGATTATTGCTACTACAGTATATATATATAAATATAAATGAAATATGTGACCATGGAGCACAAAACCAGTCTTAAGTGTCAATTTTTTTGAAATTGAGATTTATGCACCTGCCAATAAAATAAATATAATAACCATATTAGAATAATATATTACTTTATTTATTACTTACATTAGCGCTTCATCATTAAGATATCATACAAATATATATAATAGGCTATATTACATTGTAATATTATATAATGTTGCGCTATCTGTCAGGCCCACTGAAGGCTGGTCAGTAGATCACGCGTGCGCTGAAGTGAACTAACCCTGGAACATAGCCTCCTCCGGAGCAGGTTATCGTCAGAGAGCAAGTTGCTATGGTTACTTACATACCCTGAATGTAACCTCCGATTTTGGAACCGAAAGCTGAGGTTATCCGCTCGCTTATCCTCAAACATACCCGGGTCTGTCACATAACCTGCTTTCTGGAATACCCCCCTGCAGTGTTCTGACCTCCTGTGGTGAGCCAGCAGAAACACATGGCTGACAAGTAGACGGGAGTTGTTTCTAATACTAGACTACTGCTTACTGCAAAGTATATATACTGTATTGCATGCTATTTTTTATATATATATATATATATGTAATAAGTGACACTGGAAGCCACACTGGAAATGGAAGGTCAAGTCAAGCATAATATTGTTGCACATTTTGGCAAATTTATTAGATAATCCAGGTAGTGTTTTATGTTTTTTTATTTATTATGTTTGTTTTATTTTATTTATTGTTTTTTTTTTTATTTTGAAATTGTTTTTTTTGTAATTAGATATCTTTTTTTATTATTTTGAATTCATTTTTGTTTGCATTTTCTATTTTTCTTTTTAATTTGAAAGTTTTCATAATTTTGTTGGGTTTTTTCGTCGATTGTATTAGATTTTTTTTAATTATATATTTTTAATTCGTTTTTGACACTTTTATTAGATATTGCTTTTCATTTTTTGCATTAGTTTTTATTTGAGTATTTTCCATTTTTCATTTTAAGTTGAAAGTTTTAGGAACTTTGTTGTTGTTGTTTTTTGTCATTTTCATTAGATATCTTTTGTTTTAATATTTTGAATAAGTTTTTTTGTATTTTATTTTTTTTCCTTTTTTATTTTAATTTGAAAATTTTCATAATTTTGTTGGCTCGCTTTGTCATTTTTATTAGATGTTGCTTTTTAATATTTTGAATTAGTTTTTATTTGTGCATTTTCCATGTTTAATTTTAATTACAGTTAAAGTTTTAATGATTTTTTTGGGGTTATTTTTGTCATTTTTGTTAGATATCTTTTTTTAATATTCTGAATATTTTACTTTAAAATATTTTTAATTAGTTTTTATTTTTATGTTTTCCATTATAATTATAAAGTTTATTTATTTATTTATTTATTGCTTTGCTGACTAGCTGAAAAAAAAAAAGATTAAATTTTTAAAAATGTTTTTTATTTCAGTTAATGTTTTTTATGGTTTTAGTTAATGATAATAACCCTTACAGTCAATGCTATGTACAGTATACAAACTATATCTGCAGAAACAGTCAAATATCATTATGCAATTGTGAAATATCCAGTCAAGTTGATTTGTTTCCTTCTAGATCTTTGCAAACATGCATGCATTATACCTTGTGCATTCTGTGCATGAACTCAAAGATACGTGCCAGTGTTTTCTGTCACATTGTAATGCGTTTGTGCTGTAGGGGAGTTTGAGGCGGACAGCACAACTTCCTCCTCCACCAGGAAACGGAGGGACTCGGGAAATAACAGAAGCATCAACGGCCTGGAGAAATAAGGCCGTCTCTGACAGGCTTTTCGACGGGAACATTTGCTCAGGTGTCGCTCCTGTTAGCAGCATCAGATGACTGTGATGATGATGCAAGACCCTTTGAAAAGGCAATCCTGTGTGTCCGGTGTTTAGTTAGCGAGCTCACTTTACCTGTTGACCTACAGATTAGTTTTTATTTTTATGTTTTCCATTATAATTATAAAGTTTATTTATTTATTTATTTATTGCTTTGCTGACTAGCTGGAAAAAAAAAAGATTAAATTTTAAAAAATGTTTTTTATTTCAGTTAATGTTTTTTATGGTTTTAGTTAATGATAATAACCCTTACAGTCAATGCTATGTACAGTATACAAACTATATCTGCAGAAACAGTCAAATATCATTATGCAATTGTGAAATATCCAGTCAAGTTGATTTGTTTCCTTCTAGATCTTTGCAAACATGCATGCATTATACCTTGTGCATTCTGTGCATGAACTCAAAGATACGTGCCAGTGTTTTCTGTCACATTGTAATGCGTTTGTGCTGTAGGGGAGTTTGAGGCGGACAGCACAACTTCCTCCTCCACCAGGAAACGGAGGGACTCGGGAAATAACAGAAGCATCAACGGCCTGGAGAAATAAGGCCGTCTCTGACAGGCTTTTCGACGGGAACTTTTGCACAGGTGTCGCTCCTGTTAGCAGCATCAGATGACTGTGATGATGATGCAAGACCCTTTGAAAAGGCAATCCTGTGTGTCCGGTGTTTAGTTAGCGAGCTCACTTTACCTGTTGACCTACAGAGACTGGTTAACCAGGTTAGATCCCAAGCATAGCTGGTGTTTTCAGTCGCATGCGTGACTCGTATCAGTGCTGGATTCGATGTCACAGCTGTATTTTACGGTATGCAGCCGATTTCAGAGTATGTTATTCATATCATAATGTGTTTACAAATGATCATATTTTAAAGTCAACATTATATCAGAATTTACCTTCTTAAAACACGTTCTTATTGTGCATTTTGCTGGTGCATGTTCTTTTAAAATGATTTTCTTTTAGTGATAGTCATAAAAATGTAAGTGTAGAGTTTGGGGTTGTTAAGATTTTGTTTTTTTATGTTTTTGAAAGAAGTCTGCTCTGTTCGCCAAGGCTGCGTTTATTTGATCAAAAATACAGTAAAAAATGTGAAATATTATTGTAATTTAAAATAACCATTTTCTATGTGAATATCTGTTAAACTGTAATTTATTTCTGTGATCAAAGCTGGATTTTGGATTTGGATCAGTGTCACATGATCTTCAGAAATCATTCTAATTTGCTGAGAAACATTTCTGATTATTATCAATGTTGAAAACGGTTGCGCTGCCCGGTATTTTTGTGGAAAAGGTGATGCATTTTATTTTTCATGATTCACAGATGAATAGAAAGTTAAAAAGAGCAGCATTTATTTGAAACCGAAATCTTTTGTAACATTATAAATGTCTTTAATGGCACTTTTGATCAATTTAACGCATCCTTGATGAATACAAGTATTTCTTTCTTACAAATAAAATCTTCCTGACCCCAAACATCTGAATGCTAATGTACTGTAAATCAGATTGTGGAGGTAAAATGGTTTGCGTGTGGCATTAGATGTTGAGGCATGACTTGCTGTGTTTGATCCAGACGGAGTTGAATGTTTCCAGGTTAAGCTGCTTTAAACGAATCATGTTCGAGATGAATGCAGGTTCACCGAAAGCACATGGTTTTTAGCACTTTCCGAGTTTGATGTTGTTCTTGAAGCGCAGGATGTTTTGTCGTGTGATGTTTGTTTCTAGAGCATCTCTGCTTCTCCAGCTGCTGCCGTTTTCAATGCGTTTCTCGTGGAAGCTTATTTCAGCCACGCAATAAAAATGAAAGTAATTCTGAACTTTTAGTCTCTTACAATTCTGACTTTTCTTTTTTTAGAATTAAGAGATGCATTCAATTCTGAGCAGGAAAATCTTATTGCAAGTTTACAGCTGACAAATGTGAGACAAACTTGCAAATGCAAGAAAAAAGTCAGAAATATGAGAGAAAAAAATCTGAATTGTGAGAAAATGTCAGAAATGTGAGATATGGTCACGATTGACCTTTTTTTCTTTTCTTTTGTATTCCTTGGAGAAAACAAGCTTGTCAAAATAAAAAAGGGCACATTTCTGACTTTTCCCTTACATTTTTTTGTCTCACATTTCTGACTTTTCCCTTACATTTTTTTGTCTCACATTTCTGACTTTTTGTCACCGTTCTGATTTTTTTAAATCTCACGTATGACAATTTTAAAGTAAAATTTAAATTTAATTACATTAAAAAAATTTTTTATTGCATTTATCTCAAAATATTTTTTTCTTGCAATTCTGATTTTTTTCTTTCTCTTCTCACAATTTTGATTTATCTCACATTTCTGACTCACAATTCAGATTTAGTTTATTCTCACCTTTCACTTATTTTATCTTTTTTTCTTGCAATTCAATTCTGTTTTTTTTTTTGTCACATTTCTGAGTTTTTGTCACAGTTGAGATTTTTCTATCTCATATTTATGCATGCTATCTCATATTTCTTGCATTTGCAATTGCACACTTCAAAATGTAATTGTAGACATACAGAAATCCAGTTTATATACAGTGCAGAGAAAGGCAAAAACGAAGCCATAAACATTACATTTTAACAAATTATAATGTAAGATGATCATTTATGAAAAAAGTCAGACTTGTGAGAAAAACTCAGAATAGTGAGATTTTTATTGTTTTGTTCCTCGGTGGAAATAAGCTTCTGTAGTTTTTAGTTTTGCATGTTTGCTAGAATCATCACATTATATTTATCACATTAATATGATCCCGATCATCTCACCCTTACAGCAGTATTCAAGCCTTCACAGACTTCTGTGTCTGTTTAACACAGATATCGTGTGCCTGCGTGCATGTTTCAATAACTATCACCTGTTACCTGTGTGTGTGTGTGTTGTGCATTAGTGTTTTTCCTGATGTGATAATTCGAGAGCGGCGTGGCTGATGTAAATCTGGTCTTGTTTTAATTGCAGTATCTGAAATGTTTTGCACTCACCTCACGGTTCACACAGGAATCTGCTCATCCGTTGACTGGGCTGTCAGTGGTTTGTTACTCACACTAACGCATATATGTTAAGTGTTGGTTGATATATCACTAGTGTTCATAATCAAACACCTTGTCCTGTATTAATGTGACGATCTGCAGTGTCACATGAAGCTTCATAACTATTTGCCAAACTCGTGTGTCGTGTATCTGTTTGGCCCCTGTGAAACATTTCAATGCCTTTTTGTCCTGATTTTTGCATTTCACGTTAATTGTAAACGATTCCGTGTCTTTCTGTGATATTAAGAATGGCACAACGTGACTGAACTTTGCAGCTTTTCAATATATGACGTTTGTTTATGTGTTCGTTTGATCACTATTTACATGCAACTACTTGGGATGTAACTGAATTTTGTGATTAAATTTCATGTTTCTTGTGATTTGTATTTTTTATTATTTTGGTTTTGGGCTTTTCTGCCTTTTCTTAACCAGCACAATAAGTCATTTGTTTGTCCCTTCAGATGCCGTTCCATTTGTAAAAAAAATAATTTGATAAAAAAAATTTTTAAAAAAAATTATAATATAATGATGAATATAAATATCTATTATTATTCTATTAATGCTACATTTTTAATCATTTACATGTAGTCATTTAGCAGACGCTTTTATCCAAAGCGACTTAAAAATGATAATTATTATTTATAAATATTAAATATAATATAAATATTAATTCTATTAAAAACCAGTTTTATATATATATATATTATATAATTATATTCATATTTATTTATTGATTAACAGGAGTAGTTATAACCAATAAAATATTGATAATGAACTGACCGAATAGATATAGTAGTGTGTGCTTTAACATTCAGTCACAATCATATTTGGATTAAATGCCACCCATGACAGAACTGCTGGAGGATACTGTGGAAATAACCGATGTGACTGTATGAGTGTTTAAGTGTTTGGGCCGCTCCTCAGCTGTGATCTGCTTCGGTGGACGCTGAGCTCATTTGACCAGCTCTACTAACCAGTGGAGTCAGATATCAGACAGAAATAGACACGCATAGACACCTCACAGAACCAGCTCATGTTTCAGAAAGCCTGTTTTAGGACCATGCTTTGCTGTGCAATTTTCAGGACAATTAAGGATATTTACCCACTAAATTCAATAACAATAAAAATAATATTAAAGATTTTATTTTCTATCATTTAAATTTAATTGTGTGATTTAAAAGCATCTGTTATTATTATTATTATTATTCATAATAATATCGTTTTAATTGCTATTATGCAATTCTGACTTTTGTAATGCTTTATTGATGATATCGAATATTTTATTGCTATTATTAAATTTTTTGATTATAGTAAATGATGTCACAGTGAATATATGGACTATTTTTTGTATGCACAATAAAAAAATCTTACTTTTGTAACACTTCATATTACTAACGTTAAGAATATTAAAGATTTTAATTGCTATTATAGAATTTTAGGATTATAGTGAATGATATATAGACAATTTTCTTTATGGAAAATATGAAATTCTCATATTTTTAATGCTTATTATTAATGATAATAGACTTTAATTGCTGTTATAAAATTTTATGATTATAGTAAATAATGTCAATGAATATATAGACAATTTTCTTTATGCAAAATATCAGATTCTCACTTTTGTAATGCTTAATGATTATAAAATAGATTTGAATTGCTTTTATACAGTTTTATGGTTGTAGTTTATATATAGACTATTTATACCAAAATTTCCACTTTTTTATTGGTTATTAATTATTATAAATAATAATAATACAGATTTGAATTGAGTTTACACAATTTACACATTTATAGTAAATTGTCACATTATAGTGTATACACCATTTTTTAATGCAAAATATAATGTCTCCTGGTTTTTTCTTTTAATTTTGAGGTAAAACAGAATCCAGACATTTCTCACGTACTTTTACTTCAAACCCCTATTAAAGTGTAAAATATGTATTTTTGTGGTATCATTAAATCAACCAGTGCTTATTATAGATGATATTTGTATAGGCATATTAGACTTTTTTTAATTGAATTAGTAATAGTAAAAATGTCTTCAAATGAAC